TGGCGATCTCAGTCCACAGCTGTGGCCCACCTGGCTGAAGGACACGAACCCTCGCCTCCGGGCCCCCTGGACCATTAGCGTCCTCCTCATCAGTCTCGGCAAAGTCTTCCAAGTTGCCCACGTCACTAGGCTTCATGCTCATGAGGCTCGCGAGACTCTGCATGTCATCATCCCTGGGGGTCAGAGATCAGGGGTGAGGGCTACGGTCAGAGGTTATAGCTAGGGCCCAGGAGGGCAGCTGGACACTCACGTGGCGCGGCCCTCCCGCAGCAGCACCCCAGAGAGAGTGAGGCTCAGCTCGGCCTGCACCACCTTCACCGACTTGGGCTTCAGCCGCAGCCGCAGTGAGGCTTGGGTAGGCACAGGCCCTGCATGGCGGGCCAGGTCCACCTCGGCTGTGGCCAGCACCTTCCGCTGCCCCTTGGACTCCTGGGGGCAGGAAGAAGGAGCATCAGTGCTGCCCCAGAGTCCCCGAGACCCCAGGTTCCAGCCCGCCCCAGCCACTCACATTCTCAATAACAAACGTCCACTCTTTGGCCTCATACTGGTCCACGTGTGGGTCCTGGGAAAAGGGGGCACCGGTGAGTACAGAGGCTGCTGCGGTGGGGACAGGGCAGGGAGAAGAGCCTGTGCTGGCTCAGGAGGTGATTGTGTGGGGCCTTCACACATGTTGAGCCCTCCTGGCAGGTATGCTCCCCGGCTTCTCCTGATCCCAGCTCTCTTCATGTGGTGGCTAAATGCTAACTCCTCCAAGGAGACCTCCTGGGCCACTCACACTGAATAGGCCCCCTGCCATGATTCTTGGTCTCACCCCTCTGTTCTTTTCTATTTGGATGGATAACGCACCAGGGGCCTCCTGTGGCTGCCCAGGGTTGCAATCACTGGCTCATTCCCATCTGTGCAGGAGGGCTAGAGACTTACCCTGTATAGGGTCACAGAGATGTCCACATTCTCAGGTACCATCCACAACACGGTGCCCCGGTATGGGTTCTGGATGCCCGGCTGCCAGCTGTGGGCCTACAATGAGCAGTCTGAGTCCTCCCCCCAATCCTAACCCTCCCCCTCACCCCTTGCCCTTATCTCCAACCTTGACCCCATCTTTCTCTCCCTTCTATGGATTCTGATCTGAACCTGAACCTGACTCCACTCACCCCTCAGCCCTGACCCACTTACCCCCCCAATCGGCCCCACCCCCAACCCGGACCCCCAGCTGACATCCTCCCTCACCTTGGAGCAGATGCGTCGGTTCCGCCGGGTCCACACTACCACCAGCTTATCCGGTTGCCTGGGAGGCGGAGCGGGGAGAGGGGGCTACTCAGTCAGGCCCACCCGGCCTTTCTATCTCCTCCAGTCTCCCTTCTGCCCACATCCCCCTCCCCCAGGACAGGGCCCCGACAGCCCCTTATCTGGGGCCACAGGGAGTAGGGTGGGGTTGCTGAGGCAGGGTGAGGCCTGGGCCAGAGGGCAAAGGCCTGTGGGTCAGCAGGAAGTATGAAGAAAGTCATACAGAGAGACAGGCACACACAGAGACAGACAGAAACACAAATACCCTGCAAGAAACACAGACTCAGAGACACAGAGAGACAGCCTCAGAGTAAAAGAAGCCCATTCACTCACAAATATTTGTAGAGTGCATAGCCCAATTTGGGGGCAGAGCCAAGCAAAGGAGAGGCAAGACCTTTCTGGGGCAGGGAATGGGTCATGTCAGGAGGGTCTGGAGAAGGAAGGCTCCAGGCAGAGAGGATGGCAAGTGCCAGGGTCCCAGGATGGGGGTGTGTGTGTAAGGTCGGGAGGGGAGGGCAGAGGTTGGGAAGTAGGCAGAGAGGCATAGGGTCAGCTTGTCATTCGATACCCTCCCAGGACCTTCCATGCCCAGCCCTTTGCTTTGCAGGGCCCCCGATTCCCGCAAGGGGCACCAGGGAAGACTTCTAGAAGGTGGCATCTAAGCCGAAACAGCATATGCCAGGGCAGACTCAGAGGAGAGGCAGAGATGTGGGGAGACAGAGACAAAGCGAGAGGAGAGTGTCAGCTGCGCGGGGCCGAGTCCCAGACACGTGGCTGGGCCTGGAAGGGAGAGGGCCCCTTTGCGTTGGAGGGGCCAACTGCTGCCCAGGAGGGTGGGGATGGTTAGAGGATCATCAGGCAGATGGCAACATAAGAGCCCTCCTTGCCTGTACCCTGTCCCTTGCCAGGACGCTCAGGTTCACCCAGCTCACTGCCCCTCTGGAGGCTGAGCCAGGATAACTGGCTCTCCTGTCAGCCCCTGAGGATGCCGAGACCCAGAGAGGTTAGGGGCCAGGCAAGGGCACACAGCTGAGCCTAGAGCCCTCCAGCCTGGAGCCAAGTGCCTCTCCTGGACCCCAGACTGCAGGCAATGGCTAAGGGCAGCCATGGGGACTTCCCAGAAAGGGGAAGAAGACAGTGAGAGCCTAGGGAGGGCAGGGCCTGGCTAGGCAGCCTGACTCAGGCTGGGCACGCCCTCCTGGGGAGCCGTGACCTGGGCAGAGGCAGCTTCCTAGCTGGGGCTCCAGGCGAAAAAGCTCAGGAGGCCCTGCCTGCCGCCTGTGACTCAGACACGTTGACAGTGCCCACACCCTCAGCCAGCTCTCCGGACCGTGCCCAGCGTCCCCCTGTCTTCACCCAGGATGCTGTGGCAGAAGGCAGAAGCCATAGGCCAGAGTTCAAGTTCCAGCCCTGTGCTGTGTTACCCCAGCCAGCCCGTCCTTTCTGGGCCTTGCTGAGTGGTGTGAACCACCCTCTGGCTGGCCCAGGCAACATCAGGGATATGACAGCTGCCCAAAGGACCCCAGGCCTCCTGCTCACTCCCCTCCCTGTGGACCCCCTGGTCCCTTCCTGTGCTTTCACTTGGGAGCCTAAATTTAGCCCCGCCTGGCGGCTGAGGCCCCCACAGCTGTGCCCTAATCCAGCCAGGGGAAGCTGACACTAGCAAGCACGTATATTTAGGGTGTGACGCAGGGGCCCAGGCAGCTGCGGGTGGGGGAATGTGAACGAGATGCCCCGGGTCCTTTGGCAGTCTGGGCTGGGGGGTCCTGCACCCCCTTACCTATCTCCCTGCACCCCACCACCTTGCCTTCCCCAGGCTCTCTCCTCCACGACCCACAACCTCCTAAGTCCTCAGGCCCTTTTAAGCTGCTCCCCGCCTCCCTCCTCATCCCTCCCAGTGCTCAGTTTCCCCTTTTAAGGATATTGTGGAGACGGATCCAGCCTCCCAGCGCCCACTCCGGCTGAAGGGGCGGGTGGTTCCTCTGGTTCAACAAATGGGCAGCGGAGGAAGGGGCAACATCCTTGTTCTGAGCTGGACTAGGGCCATGGTGTTTGCCGTCCCAGCCCCTCCACCCGAAGACCGGCAAAACTTGCTCCCTTTTCTGATGCCACCTTGAACCATCCCTCTGGCCAAAACCAGGAGGCCTCCCTTCCCCCAGCCCTGAGTGCAGTTGAGGCAAGTGTGGGCCCAGACAGATTCTCAGGTCGCAAGTCCTGCCCTCCGCTCCCCAAAGGCTGCCCACACCCTCAGCTCCGGGGATACCACAACCTGCAGTGGCACTTCTCTGTGCCCGGGTCACCAGGGCCGAGGCTGGGGTAGGCGGCGCCTTTGGTCACTGGACTGGGGGCAGGATTCTCAGGCCCCCAAGGCCGGATGGGGTCCCAGCCAGTCTGGGGAGTGCCCCAGGCCTCCCTCCCACTCACCATTTCTTGGTGCACTCCACCACCAGCTCGTGGTAACAGGCCACAAACTGGAACTTGGCGGCCCGCTTGCCCACGCGCTGCAAGCGCTTCCACACCGAGGTCATGGCCCTGCCGCCTCCGCCGCCCGTTCCTCAGACCCGGGGCTCCCGCTGGCCCGCGATCGCTGGCCTGGCCCAGGTCCCCATGGCCTCCGGGCTCCTATCGGCACCGCCCGCCCCGTCCGTGGGGAGGGGTCCGAGGCGCGGGACCCGGAGCCGCTCTTGCCGCCGCCGCCGCTGGGGCCCGCTGGGTGGTCTGGCTGCGTCGGCGGGGTCGTCCGGGGCGCGTCGTGTCGCTGGAGCGCTGAGCGGCGAGCGCGCCGTTTCCTGGAGCTGCACCCCCGTCGGAAGGCGGGCGGGGCTCCGGCGGGGGGCGGGGGCCGGGGCGAGAGAGCGGGGGCGGGGCGGCCCGGCTTCCGGGGCCTCGCGCGGGAGGGAGAGCGAGGGGCGAGGGGGGCGCCTGGGGCGAGGGGGGCGCCTGGACCGCAGCGCCCGCTTGTTGCGCGCCGAGGCGGTGTGGAGGCGCGGGCCGGGTGGGGGGCGCGCGGGCCGGGGCAGGGAGCCACCAGCAATTGGTACCGCCCTCGCGAGCGCTGCCCCGGCCGCCTCCCTTCCTGACCGCAGCCCTGGTAGGTACGTACTGGTGGCCCCATTTCACAGGCTGGGGAGAGACCCAGAAAGGAGAAGAAACGTGAAGGATCACAGTGCGCTGAGCCACCAACTGGCCTCAACACTGGGGAGAGGCAGACTCCTGCTGCCACCCACGAATTAACCAGAGCAGGAAGGAGCAGGGTCAGCGGCCAACCCGGGTAGCCCTACCTGTGGGCAGCACCCACTTGCCAGTTTCAGAACCTGACTCTCCAGCTGTCAAGTGGGAAGGTGGTCCCAACATCCCACAAGCAGATGACTTCCAACAAGCGTGTGACCTTGGGCAAAGTACTAACGCTCTGAGCCTCAATTTTCACCTCAGTGAAATAGGGATAATTACAGTTCCATCTTTTACAACATCATTGAGAATGAAACCTTGGAAAGCATTAGTGTAGAACCTGGCTGATTTTGCCGGTTTTATTAAATGAAATCCGTTATCATGGACGGGTGTGTGTGTGTTTACTCTCCCTCCCCTGGGAAGCCTGCCCCGGGGCGTTAACCGCTCTGTTCACACCTAGATTAGAGCCCTTATCGCCAGCCCGCCCGGCTGCCTGCTTGGTAATGAGCCGCTGCAGGTGTCAGGCGCAGAGCTACAAGAACTGCCATAGGGCAGCACATCAGCCTGTTCCGTCTGCCAGTGTGAACGCTCTGCTAGGTTTGCGAATGGACAGAAGCCTGGTCCTTGATAAATACTCGGTTTGAACAGGACGTCTGATCTGCCAGGAGTGTCAGTTGAGTTGTGTCCAGGAGGCATGGGGATGAGCAGCCGGTAAGCCTAAGTGCGCAACTTTGAGGTCCTCTCCTCTTCTCTTCGTTTCAGGAAGCTGTGGGGTATTGTGCGTGTGTGTGGAAGCCTTAGCACCCACCATTCGCAAATGTTCAGGCTTCTTTGGGGGAGGGAAGGGAACCTGACACCGGGTTTAGCTCCTAGACCCAGCATCGCGGTTCTCCGTTTCCTCTGTAAGAGAAAGCCTTTTACATACAACCCTGAAAGTCCCAGGTGCTGTTGAGGTGAAGCCAGGCATAGAATGCGGGTGTTGACGCCGCTGGGAGTCTCATGCATCCAAGCCCAGAGGATTGCCCCCATCTCCCCTCCGGGGCTTGTCTGGCCTCTGGGGAGGCCTGGAGCACTGCGACTTCACGCCCCTTCTGCCTCTGCAACTCTTTTCTCCCGCCTATAGGTCACTCATTCGTCCCAGGCCCTTCCAGGAGGCGCCCTCCCCTCTCTCGCCTAGGGCCCCTCGGCCCGGCCCGCCAGCCCAGGCCCACCCATTTCCTGTGCCGCCCCAACCCCGCCCCCACTCGGGGTGGAAAGTTTCTCTCCTCGAGAAGGGCGGCTCCTTCTCTTTCCTTCCCGGCCGGCCAGGAAAGCCCAAAGCGAGTGGGGAGGGGCGTTGAGCTCCAGGCCTCCGGCCAGAGAGGGGAAGTGACTCGCCCGCACTCACACAACCAACCACGGGACCAAGCTGGGGCAGCTTGGAACGATCGGCAGATCGGCGACTCTGCCCGGGGAGCGAGGGTTCGCACCCTGGCACCGCCGAGCGTCTTCCAACTCGGGGTCTCGGGCACCACCTGCTGGCGGAGCGCGGGGCAGCACTTTACAGAATCGCCGCTTATCTTCCCGCCCCTGAGCCAGGCAGTCAGAACACAACAATGCTGAGACAGTTATTTATTTATCTATGCGCCCAGGAGGCTGGCCCCTAAACTTAAATATCCAGCGCGGAGCCTTGGCCCTCCCGGCCGTGGGTGGTGCAGGAATGGGTCCTGGAGAGCCCTTGTCTAGGGCCGTGGAACCCAGGGACCAGAGGTGGGATGCCCCTGAGCCAGCAGCTGCCAATAGCAGCAAAAGGTGAAGAGATAGGAGCCAGGCACTCATCTCAGTCACAGAGATGCCAAGGGGAGTGCTAGATGCTTTGGACCCCACCGCCAGACTGAAGGTCGGCCAAGCTGGAGTACACACATGTGGGAGAAGTGAAGGTCCAGTGCCATGGGCAGAGGCTGTAGCCCAGGTACCTGCCCCAGTGCCAGCTAACCCAAGACAGGAGAGAGAAGGTAGGCCGTTTTGCTCCCAAGGGGCCCAGGCCTTGCCCTCCTCCTGTGAGGTGAGGTGGTATGGGGGAAAGCAGGCACTATAGTCTGAATACTTGCTGAGGGGTGAGTTTCTGAGCCTTTTGCATGGGTACATGCCCCCTACCACCCTAGCTCTTCAGAGGCTGATGTGGAAGGCATCCTGCAGCCACTGGTCTCGGGCATTGTGCGTCTGGGGCACAGTGAGGGGTGGCGGGTCTGGGGGCAGGCTAGCATCAGGAGGCTCGTCATCATCAGATAGGCCAGCATCAGGTGGGTAGGAACTGTCTGAATGCAGGGAGGATGACAGGTCCTGGCACAGGCTCAAGTCTTGGCACAGGTGCTTATAGTCCTGGATCGACTCATACAGGCCCCACAGCTGGCACAGCAGGGACATGTCCAGCTGCCGCAGGCCCACCTGCAAAAGACTGAGAGTGGGCTGGGGTTGGGGTCGAAGCCACCCCCCTAGCCAGTCTTCCCAAGCACAGGCTTTTGTGGACATCAGATGCCATCTACAAGCTTTGAATCTTTAGGCAAGCCACTGACCCTTATCTGCAAGACGGGGACATTTATCTAGCAGAATAGAATGAAATAACACTAGTAAGGCATTTAAAAATACATAGTAACTATTACCATAAACGGTAACTAATTATTGTTACCATATCCCCTCTAACCCAACCGGCTTCTGCCAATCCTCTAGACCCAGATAGCGCGCTGCCTTATGTACTCCGCCCCGCCCCAGGACCCTCAAGCTCGGCGGCAGCCCCCATCACCCCGCAACGCCCAGCTGACCGAGGCAAGGCTACTCACCATCTCCTTGCGCAGCGCCGCTAGCGCCGAGTCGAGGTTAACAGGGCGACGCGGGCCGGGGGGACCCGCGGCAGTTCCCGCGTTGGCGGCGCCGGCGGCGTTACGGGGCCCGTCCGGTACGCGGGCGGCCCGGCTCAGCTCATCGTGGATGCGGCTGCGCTGGCTGTAGACGCGCTCCAGCTCCCTCCACGAGCCTCCGCTCGCGTTGAGAAGACCGCTGAGGCCGCGCGGTAACGGCGGAAGACCGGTCAGGGCGCAGCCCGCGCCGCCTGGCGCCTCGGCCGAAGGCAGCCCATTCATGGCCGGACCGGCAGAGGAGGATGCCGCCTCCTTCCCTCCAACGCTCCGCCCGGGCCGCCGCCCGCAGGCCCCGCACCCCGCGGCCCCGCCAGCCGAGCCCAGCCGCCGCCCGCAGGGAGTGCTTTGTTCCTACCCGATTCCTCCGACTCCGCCCCCTGCCCACCCCTCCGTGTGGGCAGGGCCTCTCTTAAAAGGGCAACGGCTGATGCGCCCACGTTGCCCCAGGTCGCAGAGAGCAGAGAACAGGCAATTGGCCACCAATAGAAGGGGAGCAGGAAAAAGGGGTGAGGGAAGAGGGCAAAAGCGGAGCGTGCGGTTCTTTCGCGGTTCTCCACCCCCACACACAACACTTTAATTATTTATTCTGCCTTATTATAACTCTCAAGGATCTTAAAAGGGGGGGGGTGGTCAGGAGACTGAGGATAAGTCCATAATTGATCCCTAATTGACTGACACCCTGTCAGTATCTGAGTACCTGGTCTGGGCCTGAGGTGGGATAGGATGATGGCGTCGGGATGCTCGGGGTAAGGAGGGGAAGCTACCAAGGGGACTGGAACCCCAAATCTCACTCAAGGGTGGGGAATGAGCACTGGATGGCTGAGGAGGTTGCAGGGTTCCTTTAGAGATCGACGCCTGTTTCTGCTTTTGAGGAGGCTGTGGCCTCCTCATCAGAATAAAAGTATCACATAGTCCTCTCCCGCCTCATCCTTTGAGTGGGGAAACTGAGCAGAAACAAGCCCAACTCATCTCTCAGGGCATCAAGGAGACCAGACTGTGATAGCATGAGAGGCCAAAAGTAGGAAAAAGACGAGCAGAGCTGGGGCTTACATGCACACTCAGAACCAAGAAAAGAAAAAATCACACAAGAGGAACAGCTGTTTTTCTACAGGGATTTTCTCAGGAGGGGTTCTTTAGTGTTGCAGCTGCTGCAGGCTGCGCAGAGCTTCAGCACAAGCCCGGATAAGGCTACACAGCTGGATGCTAGTCTCCAGGGAGGTGCTAGAGCCCAGCTCAGCTGAGGCCCAGGTCAGTTTCTGCAGGAGAGCCTCTTGTGTGCAGACCACGACATCTGCATTTGGAGGCACAGCAGGAGGGGGCGGCCCCTGGACTGCCTTGAGCCCTGCTGCAGCTCCCTCACAGTGCTCTGGACGGGGTACTGGGGGCTGAGGGGCAGGCCGAGAGCCCAAGGGGGGCTCCGAAGCAGAGGCGAGCTGGTGCTCCCGAGCTTGGGAGAGGGCAGCCTGGGCATTCAGAGCTAAAAGAGGAAAAAGCCGGTGGAATGGTCAGGATACCTGGCTCACCTCAGCCCTGAGCCAGTTCCCTACTCTTTACTGTTCTGCTCTCTCTCTAGTTGAGATGTTTTCCCTGCCCCAGTATAAGGCAATTTATCCATTTTCTTCTTTGTATCAGAGTTATTTATGCCCTTGCTTCATCTCTCTCATCAGAACTATGCCTAATAAGCTCAGACTCTCCATGATCTCTGGCACACGGTAGGTGCTTGGTGCTCTTACTGAATGAATGGTTCTTTCCAGAGCTGAAAGGAAAAAGCAACTCACCCCCGCCTCACCCACAAATACCACTGTCACCTCCCACCTACTGTTCCTGAGCCTCTCTCACCACACTTCTTCACCAAGCACACTCGACACCTCACCCGGATTATCTTTGTCCACGTCTGAGTCGAGCTCCTGGCAAGCCACGCAGTAGATTTTCCGCTGTTTGTCTTGGAGGAGGATCGTCTAGGGGCCAGAAAGCACACGGGGCAGGGGTGAGACGCCGGGCGATGGGGTCCAGAGGGGAGCGCTGGTCAAGGGCCGTGTGGCCTGGTCCGCGGCCCCATCTTGGATCCCACGTCCCGAGTCTCTCCTCACCCCGCAGTCCGCGCACGTCTCGCCCAGCATGCGGTAACCACGCAGCAGGTAGTCGCCCATGAGCCGGGAGATGCGATCCTGCCGCTCCCGCCGCGCTTGCAGCACCTTCGTCTCCGCTTCGGTCGGGGGCTCCCAGGAAAAGTCGTCGACTTCTGGGGGAAGAGAGGCACAAGGGGCCGGGGGGTCTTGCCGAAGAAGGCTGCATCCCGCAACCCGCAGCCACAAACCCCCGCAGCCCAAGTCCTCACCAGAGCCGTTCAGGGCCATGTTACCGTTGTCGCCGCTAGACTCACCGGAAGTGACGCACAAGCCGCGCGCCTTCCGCTTGGCTCCGCCCCCTCCGTGTGGGGCCGAGGATGAGGGCGGAAATGACGCTCTGTGTGCTCCGACGTAGCGATGCCCAGAGTGGGGCGTGTCTGCCGCAGACTAGACCCTGTCCCATTGGTGTGCCCCTCGGTGGGAGCCTGTGGACAAGAACTTTCGACTGGCCGGGCCTGAGGAGGGGCGTCTCCGTGATCATACAGCTCAAAGTCGCAGGGCCCGGAAGTGGCTGCGCAGAGTCGCTCTTCCTGCCCGCCGCGGAGGGAGGGGAGTGGTTGGCTTGAGAAATCTCCGCTGGCCTCCGCCTCCCCTGGAGTTTCCCTTTCCGCACTGGCAGGACCCGGGACGGGCGGGGCAGTGGCAACATCACAACACCCTTGATAACAAACGGCCCTTTACGCGTGCGTGGAGCCTCCTCGGGCCTCAGTCCTTCCCTTCTCACTTCAACTGGCAAGGCAGGCCAGGCGGCGATCGTTCTCGCTGCCTTTCAGCTTATTTCAAGACCCCTCCCCTTCTGCACGTTCGGTGTTACAGTCTGTCCACCCCCTATCTTCCCCACCCAAAGGCCTGGGACTGATTCAAAGTCAGCCCCTAAGAAGACATTTTGTTTTGTTGAAGTTGGAACCCCCCGAAGGCGGGGGGGGGGGGGGGGGGGGGGGGGGGGTGGAAATCGCTGTGCTGGGCATGCGCAGTTTCGGTTCCAGCCGCAACTGAGTGATACATGCTGGAGGGTGGGGATGAGGGGTTTATTACACATGCCTGTGACCGTTATGCTCTTCTTGAGTGCGTTGCTGTTAAAATTACTAGTGCTCCCTGACCATTGGCCTTGGTGGGTTTTTTTTTTCCTCTTTGTTCTTTTTCCATACACCTCTTCTCTTTGTAGGTTTGAAGAAGCCAGGTGGAGCAGGCAGCAGTCCCCAGATGTGCAGCCTGCAGTGCCTCAAGGCAGTACACCAGGTCAGTGGAGAAGGAGCTAGGACTTAGACTCCCGTGATCTCATCGGCAATCTCCTTCTCTGACTGGCAGCACATGCTTTCAGTTTTACCTGAAGATAGAGTACCCTCCTTCTGCCCCATCTTCCTCCAACATAGACTCCCTGGAGCTTACATTTTCTGACTCTTCCTGCCTCCTGCTTCCTTGGAGAGCCCTGTGCCCCACGTCACTCTGTCCATCTACCAGCAGCCTCTTGGGCAGCAGTGTACCTGACTCAGGGCCTGACACCAGGTCAGTTCTGCCAAAATGACTAGGCACTCTTGGCCTCTAGCCTATATGCACAGACCCTTCGGGTCCTTACTATCTTCAGCTCCCAGCACGCCCCACCCCCCACCGAATTCCTCGATGCACCCTTCTGTGTCATCATAATGGCCCATATCCACTCAGCAGCTTATCCTGTCTGACACCAACTAAGATCCTTACACTCATCCTCCCATTTACTCCCTTTCATTTATTCCTCATGACAACTACTCTCTTCTGGGTGGGGTTTGGGAGTGGAAAGGTAGCGCCTCACAGTCCAGGTCTGCCCCATTGTAACAACCAATGACTCATCCTGACGTGCAGCAACAAAGACCCAATGCAGCCAAAAAAAGAAAAAAGAAAAAGACTCATCCTGGGAGTACAGAAGTTTCCACCTCCTTTCAGGCAGTATTTACAGAGATGCACACACATATTAAACATGAATGGAGGGAAATTCATTACTGGTATGGACAAAAAAATAGATGAATCATTAGAACTTTGCTGGCTCACTTGGGAGAGGAGGGGCAGGGCATGTGATGCTTGGTAAGGAAGAATGGCAACAGCTGGGTCATCTTACAGCTCAGCCCTTTCTACAGGCTATCATGCGAATCTTATATCTATTCTGAGATGACAGTAAAAGGTCTCAGCTTTTCCCCCCTAATGGGTCTTGGCTGCTATAAGGGAGCTTTATCCCTCTTCCGGGAAATTTCCTTGAGACAAACTCCCATAGGAAACCATAGATGAGGCATTTATTACTCTTTGGGCTCCTATTGTCTTACTTTAGGTTTACAGTACTGCTACAGGTGCCCCAAAGAAATCTAGATAAATTCTTGTGATCAGCTCCACTGCCCTAGAAAACACTCCTAGCTCTTCTGTTAAAACAAGGCGAAAATGAGACATTATTATGACAGGGGGACAGAAATACCCTCTATCAAGGTAGTCTCCTTTTAATAAAAGTCACGGCTGTGCAAGTCAAGCCCAAGTCCTGACAGACATCTATAGAACGCTCCACCCAACAACAGCAGGTCATATTCTTCTCAAATATACATGCTCCAGGACAGACCATATGTTAGACCATAAAGCAAGTCTCAATACACTTAAAAGGGTTGAAATAATACAAAGTATGTTCTCAGATCACAGTGGAATGAAATTAGCAATCAGTAAAAGAAGAAAATTTGGGAAATTCACAAATATGTGGAAATTAGACAACACCCTCTTAAATAACTAATGGGTCATAGAAGAAAACACATGGGAAATTAGAAACTGCTTGGAGATTAATGAAAACACAGCATAACAAAACTTGTGAGATACAGCCAAAGCAGTGCTTAGAGGGCAATTTATAGTTGTATATTCTTATATTTAAAAGAAAAAAAAAAGTCTCGATTCAGTAACCTAATCTTCCACCTTAAGAAACTAGAAAAAAGAGCAAACTAAACCCAAAGCAAGCAGAAGGAAGACTAGAATAGATTAGAGAAAATCAACTCACCTTAAAGTTAGTTCTTTAGAAGATCAACAAAATTGCCAAACCATTAGCAAGACTGACCAACTCAAGCCCAGGTCAGCCAAAGGGTGTGAACCTTGCCGCTCCAGCTGGAAAGCAATGTTGCTGTGGTTGCTGAGTCAAGGAGTCCCCAAATGTGAGATAGATAATGTCAGGACCCTGCCGCCTAATAGAGGGCTTTGGACGGCAATGTTCTCAGCTAACTGGAAACAAATCGTGGCTGATCAAACTCTCTAGATCACTTATGCAGATGCCCATGCTAAAGGCCCATTCTCTGATGAGACCGACATGAATCAAGCTGTTGTTCGAGCCTGCACTGCCCAGATTGTCTCCATTTCTGCCTGGACCCATCATGATACCAGATATGGCAACATGTCCACCATCACAGAGTGGGCACAAAGTGAAGGACTCTATGCTGCCGATGCAGAAGCCACCACTCCATGCCAGATTTGTGATCCCGGTCAAAAGTTCATCTGTTTGTCCTGTGAAGAGGAGGCTACAGTGTATGTGGCATTGCCCCGCCCACTCCTGAGAGATTGAATGCATGGGACCTTTGACTCCTTCCTGGGGCTATGGATGGTGTCTCACACTTTTTCAGGTTACAGTGGTACTGTTTCAGGCCAATCAGCCAACTTTGGTCACCCCATTGTGGTTCTTGAGACGAATCTGTGTAATTGTTTTTGGCTTTCTGGACCAATTGAAGTCTAACAATGGTGCACCTTTCATCTCAGGCCACTCAACAATGGGCTGATAGTCTAGGTATTTGGTGATCCTTCTATCCTCCCTGTCATCCACAAGCATGTGGTACTGTTGAGCACTGAAATAGCTCCTCAAAAATTAGCTCAAAGAGATTTCTGGCTCTCCCTCCTGGTCCACACACCTTAGTACAGCAGTTCAGTAACTGAATGTGGCTGTCCCCAGGATGGGACCATCTCATTTAGGCCATGTCCTTCATAATGATTGAGATGAGAGGGGTGGGGTTTATATAGACCGGTTTTGAAAATTTAGGGTTCCATGTTCACCATTCCTGGACATAATGCTTCTCTCTTTCCCTTAACAGCAACCCCAGGTCAGCCTGATTGGTGCAACTCCGGGAGATAGCCCAGTCAGAAAGGGGCCTAGGGGATTCTCAACCACCTGGATTCTCTTATTTGAGTGACACGGTCCTAGATCATGAGAATACCTGGAGTGCTTGGCACGCACACCTCTCTCTCTGAGTCCCCGAACAGTGGCCTACATGTAGAGTGGGGGACATAGTGGGCTCCTGTATGTTTTATAAAAATGTCCTTGTCCTTCTTGCACCTGACCCTTCCAGATGAAAAGTGTAAGTAGGAGGTGATTGGAAAAAAGGTGAAGTTCTAACTACTAGAATAGAACACATCGATTTTGTGACACTGGAGGGAGAATAACCTTGGCACTTGGGGAGGGGACACCTCAGACCCTGGGAGAAATGGGGGAAAGAAAGACACTTACAGTCTTTGTCTTTCCAAACCACTTGGAGCCTTCTTCACTGAGGACAACATCTTGGTCCAGCTCGCCCAAACTATTTCAAGTGACTTAAATTTAACTGACTGCTGAGTCTGCCATGCTCCACTAGACAGTTCTGACCTGGATTTGATTGCCATTCTGCTTAACCTTACCAAGAGATTGGAAGCAGCAGCGGGTAGCCTCAGCTCCTGTACCTCCTACATAAAATACCTGTCAACAACATCACCTCCAGATACAGATCCCAGGCCCAATCCTGGAGCTATCACCACTCAATCATGCCATGGAGTAGATGAATGGCATCTGGCTGGTGACATGGGCAAACAGGACTAACTGCCCTTAGCCAAGCCCTCCAAAAACAAGGACTAGACTTAATTATTTGGATTGGGCTGGAAGCCCTAAGGCCTATGGACTTGAAGGGAGGCACTGTCAACCTGGGCCCCCTCTAGCTGATGTAAGTCCCACTTGGGGGCGCCATGTTTTTTCCCAGAAGCACCACTAGTACCCTTGAGACTGCATGATTGACGTGGAAGTCACACATTAACTTGTCTCTCTCCAGAAAACAGAGTGACTTGAAATTTATCCTTGACTTTAGCCTACTTGCAAACTAACACATTAGCCTGCCACAGGTTCATGCATGCTGGCAGAAGATAGGAGACTCCTGGGTCAGAGAAAAAGGACCTTCTTGCTCATGGCTGGAAGCATTAATCCAGGTACAGCAGATATATTGATTGCACAGACTCTAGTCTGCAAGGAAGAAGTACAGGAGAAATCCATCATCCATAGCAACCTTGGTCAGTGAATTGAGGCTCTCCTGAATGCCTTCTGGGCCAAGGTGGAAAGGTTGATGCAGAGAACTAAGGAGCGAGCCACCTGGCTTTCTAAGGTAGATATGATGCTTTATGGATTTGTTCATCTGGGAGGCATGGATGAGGTCAGTACTGCAAGTTGGCTTCATCCTGCTGCTTGTAGTTCTGTTGGTAGTAGCTTTAATTAAATGCTGTATGACACAAATTGAACAGATTTGGTCCTAGCCTCTGTCGATCAGATTTGCCAACAGAGTGGTGAACTCATGGGAAAATTCGCCCAAAGCCAAGACAGTGTAGAAATGAGGGGTGGATATTACTGTAAGACAATTCTCCAGGGACCTCTTGAGTTTCTGCGCATTTTGCAAGCGAGGCAAGTGACTGCCTTTGTCCTGGACTCTCTTCTCAAGGATATTGGTACAGTGAATAGCCATGGAAGATCGAGACAGAATCTCCCTCCAGTGCAAAGGGCAGTCATTAGAAAAGACTTGCGTTCTTAAGTTTAGCGTCCTCTCCCATACCACAGTCCACTGTGTGCAGGAGTCTATCTAGGTCATTGGTGCCACCCCCACGGGACCTGGGGACAAGAGGACTGATGTTAATATGTTGATGATCATGCTATTTACTGTGCCATGAATAATGGTCCTTTGTCTCTGACCTAGGAATCTCCTGTCTTCTGCCAGCATGCACGAACCTGTGGCAGGCTCACTTGTGTTTGCAAGTAAGGTAAAACCTCAGACCCGGGACTTCCCTGGTGGCGCAGTGGTTAAGAATCCACCTGTCAATGCAGGGGATACAGGTTCGAGCCCTGGTCCAGGAAGATCCCACATGCCGCGGAGCAGCTAAGCCCCTGCGCCACAACTACTGAGCCCGTATGCCTCAACTACTGAAGCCTATGTGCCTAGAGCCTGTGCTCCGCAACAAAGAGAAGCCACTGCAATGAGAAGTCAGCGCACCGCAACGAAGAGTAGTCCCCGCTTGCCGCAACTGAGAAAGCCCGTGCACAGCAATGAAGATCCAACGCAGCCAAAATAAATTAATTAAAAAAAAAAAAAGACTCCACACTCCTAATGCAGGGGGCCCGGGTTCGATCGCTGGTCGGGGAACTAGATCCCACATGCATGTCGCAACCAAGAGTTCCCATGCTGCAACTAAGGAGCCCACAAGCCACAACTAAGGAGCCTGCCTGCTGCAACTAAGACCTGGCGCAACCAAATAAATAAAATAAATATATAAAAAATTAAACAAAAAAACCTCAGACCCATCATAGTCCTTGACAAGGGAGCAAGCACATAGAAGGTCTCAGAAGTGCTGGTGGTAAAGCCCATTCAGACCAGTAATGATGGGTAGACTAGCTGTTTGGGAAGTGTGGGACCCTTCCCTACCCTCATGTGAGCCAGCCCAACATCTGTCCCTACCTGTGGCACAGTGGATGTGGCAGTAGTTAGGCCTGTCCCTGAGTAACAGCACACCCCACAGCAGCATATTCACACACAGCTCAGTTACAGGTCCCACTTGACTGCCTCATCTGGTGGGTCAGGTTCACATGACAACGAGTGGCCTATGCTGTGTAGCCGAGGCTCTGAAAATCGTAACTGGCATTATTTTATCATCACGGCAACAGGCCTCCGGAAGGGGTCGACTTTTCTTCTTGTCTTTCACTGCAATGTGAATTGACCTGACGTTTCTGGGAAACAAGAAAGGACTAGATGATACAGTAGCAAAAATAATAATACTCGGGCTTCCCTGGTGGCGCAGTGGTTGAGAGTCCGCCTGCCGATGCAGGGGACACGGGTTCGTGCCCCGGTCCGGGAAGATCCCACATGCCGCGGAGCGGCTGTGCCCGTGAGCCACGGCCGCTGAGCCTGCGCGTCTGGAGCCTGTTGCTCCGCAACGGGAGAGGCCACAACAGTGAGAGGCCCGCGTACCGCAAAAAAAAAAAAAAAAAAAGAAACAGCAACAAAAAAATAATAATACTCAACTTTTGGTGTATTTTTTCTTGGGGCCGGGCACTATACTAAGAGCTTGAATTATCTCCTTTAATCCTCAGGACAAGTCTGTGAGTTATGTCTCCCAATGTGCAGATGGAGAAGCTGAAGCCTGGACAGGTTAAGAGATTTAGTCACAGTCACCCTGCTGGGATGTGGCAGGGCTGTGACCCCATCTGGTCAGCGCACGTCCAGAGCTGGATTCTCACCAGTGGACTTTTCCTGGGTTTGGAAGGTGGAGACGAGGGGCAGGGCTGAAGATCCTCTCTGACTGATCAAGCATGAAGACTGGTTCATTGTGTTTTCCAATCCCATCTCTCAGTGCCCTTCATCACAGTAGGGGCACAACAGAGGGGCTCAGTGACAGTCACTTTCAGTAAATTGTCTTTGGAGAGACATGCTTCAGGGCAGAATGGTCCCCTCCAGGCTTCTGAAACTTCCAACCGTCATCTTTAGAACCTACAACCCTTAGAGCCATTTCTTTCTTCAGAGTCTAGAAGCTTCCCAAAGACATTCAGAACTCAGAGAGGTGACACAGAGCCTGGTGCATGGTCAGCCCTCTTTCAATGTTATTCTCCCCCTCCCCCCAGGCAGCCAGCTCCCACCCACAGCCCACTGTGGACCCCAGACCCAGATAATGATGAAAAGAGCTAACATATACTGAGGACTTACCATATGCCCAGCATCCAACAAGGCTTCATGAATGTCAGCTCCTTTGCTTCGTTGTCTAAAAATGAGGAAAGGAGGCCTAGGGGAGATGAAGAATTTCCCCAATGCACACAGCTGGTGCAGGAAGATCGAATGCCAGAAAACCACCACCGTGTTATGCTGCCTCCTGAAATGAAACTTCCCTTACGCAGGCTGCCGCTGCCTCGTCCAGCCAGTTCCCCTAAGGAGGCATTGGGAGCCCTGGGTTTGGGTTCTGGCTCTGCCGTTAACCAGCCATGAAACCTTGGCCAAGTCCCTTGCCATCTCTGAGCCTCAAGAACCCCTCTGCACAAAGGAACCCTTCCCTAACATTTAAGCAGTCTGATCATTCCCCGGGGCTGGGGTCCCAGGGCTCTTCCTTGCCACATTCTAGCAAAGCCCCTCATTGCCCTCCTATCTTTAGGACATTTGTGGGACCCCTCTCATTCCTCCCTCCCAGGAGCACTGTGTAGGTTTTGGATCAGGCCGGCTTAAGTTCAATCCCCACATCTTACTCACCAGATGATGCAAGTCTAATTGTTCCGTCTTTCAGAGTTCCGTGGTCTCAGTCCATTCAGTCAATCAGCCAACTTCAGCACCCTCTGCCTGCCAGGCCCTGTACTAGGATCTGGAGGCAAGGTTGTACCTCCCTGAGAGGGCGGTGAGACGCACCGTAAGTAACCAAGCCCACAAAGAAGAATGTTTCAGGCTGTGCTGAAGACCAGCAGGAGACAAAGCGGGGATGTGACCCAAAGGGCCGGGGATGGCTGTTTTAGAGAAATGCCTTCTGGAGGCAGGACCCCAAGACATGAAGGATCAGGCCACGCCGAGGACCTTGCAGGCCCAGGTGAGCAGACAGAAGCTGCTGGACAGTTTTGTTGTTGTTGTTTTGTTTTGTTTTTAAATTAATTGTTGGAGGTTTTTTAAGCCAAGAAGGATCATGGTTGGAATTAGGTTTTTGTTGGTTTTTTTTAAATTAATTAATTAATTAATTAATTTATTTGGTTGCGCTGGCTCGTAGTTGCAGCAGGTGGGCTCCTTGGTTGTGGCATGTGAAATCTAGTTCCCTGAACAGGGATCGAACCCAGGCCCCCTGCATTGAGAGTGCGGAGTCTTAACCACTGCCCCACCAGAGAAGTCCCTGGAATTAAGGGGAGGTTGTTTGTTTGTTTGTTTTTATTTTTGGCTGCATTGGGTCTTTGTTGCTGCGCGCAGGCTTTCTCTAGTTGCAGCGAGCGGGGGCTACCCTTCGTTGTGCTGCGCGGGTTTCTCATTGCAGTGGCTTCTCTTGCTGCGGAGCACGGGCTCTAGGTGTGCAGGCTCAGTAGTTGTGGCGCACGGGCTTAGTTGCTCTGCGGCATGTGGGATCTTCCCGGACCAGGGCTCAAACCCGTGTCCCCTGCATTGGCAGGTGGATTCCTAACCCCTGCGCCACCAGGGAAGCCCTGGAATTAGGTTTTAAGAGGTGACTCTGGCACCAGGTGGAGGAGGGACAGGGCCAGGCAGAAATGGCAGTGGGGAGACCCGTTAGACAACAGAAGTGATCTGGACTGACCACAGAGGTCATGGTCTCCTTGGACTTGCAGGAGAACTCACATCTAGGAGGCATGCTGGTCGATTCAAGGAAGATGGGGTGGCTGGGTGTGGTGACACAGGAGATGCAGAGAGAAAAGTTGCACAGGCCACGGACACTACCTGCGTTGGACTGTCGCAGTAGCCCTGCAGATCCACTCTGCATCCTTGTCCGCCCTGCCTCATGCCTCGAGGCTCACCTTGCCTGCTGTGTTCCCTCCCCAGCATCCCCTGCCCACAGGCTTCCTTTGGGGTTCGGCCCCTGGGGGGCCCAGCTGGACAGGAAGAGACCGGGGGTAATATTTATTTCCGCAGCTCCCTCCCCACAGGCTGCACGAGGGCAGGTCCCACCGGATTGTGCTGAAGGCCGCCGCTCCCCAGGGCAGCCCCCCTTCCGGCTCCAGCTCCGGTGGCTGCAGACTTAGGTTAATGTTCATCACCCGCGGGAGGGTGCCCACTGCTGGGTTCCTGATGAGCTGAGGAGTTTGGCACCGACAGTAGGTAAACTCATGGAGCACTCACTGTGTGCCGCTTGCCCTCACGGCTCCCCGTGGCTCAGTCCCCTCAACAGCCCCCCAACAAGGGCTGCCTTCCCCCCATCCTACTCTCAGCAGCATCAGACAGCCTTGGCCGTGCCCTCCTCCCAATCGCTCCTCTGGGCTCTTCCTGCATCACACTCCTGGTTTTCCTCTCTGCTCCCTCCAGCTGCTCCTTCTAAGTCACTTCTGACACTGCCTCTTCTTTCTCATCTGGGAGTCGTGACCTCCCTGGTTCGCCTTGGGCCCTCTTCTCTCCCCAGGCGAGCCCACCCTTTCCCATGGCCATAAATGCCCCTGTAGGCGGAGGACCCCAAGTCTGTGTCTCCAGGGCAGACATTCTGTTTGAGCTCCAGACCCCTGGATTGAGACATCTCCACGTGGATGACACAAGCATCTCAAACTTGGCAAGTTGCAAACAGAGCCCCACACTCTCCCCCAGGTCTCCCTCTCTTCTGCCGCCTTCCTCACCCACCCAGGGGCTCAGGCCAAACACCTGGGAGCCATTCACACCACCCGCCTCTTGTGCACCCTCCACTTTACCTAGTCTCTAGATTCCACTCCCCAAACACATCTCCACTGCGTCCAAGCCGAGTCCTCTCTCCTGGGACGATGGCATCAGCACCCCCTCTTGCTCTGATACAGCCCCATGGCAATGAAAATAAAACTCAGATTCCTCACCGTGGCCTCCCGCCTCTGCCTCCGGATGCCCTCTCTCCACCTCCCCACCCCGTTGCTCCGCTGGCCTTCTCTCAGCTCCTAGAAGAAATGAATCTCTTTCCTACCCTTCACTCCGCATGCCCCTGTGTAAATTGTCTCCTCAACACAGGCCCCTCGACTCCTCGGGCGTCCTACAGGCTCTCCCCACCGCCTGGCTGTTAACTCCTGCTCCTTCTCCAGCTCCTGGCTCAAAAGTCCCTTCGGGCTTCCCTGGTGGCGCAGTG